GCAATTTTGGTAAGATTTATGGTGGACAAATTGAGACCAAACATAGAATAATGATGATTTTTAAAAGCTCATAGCTCCATACAGAATGGGATTTTAAAAAAAAACTCTTCATTTTTTGTTAATTCAAGCTTCAAACTAACTGATTATGAAAAGCTTTTTGATTTATTTTATTTGTTGACAGACTAGATAGAATTAAAAAATTTCATGTAAAAGTTGCCGGGACTAGACTAGATGCACCATACATAAATTATAACAATTACGATCTAAATCAATAAAAAAAATGGTAACGTACGAGAAAATCAAAGTGAATTGAACAAAGCAAGAGAAGATTATGTGAAAGCAGAGATGAAGTTGAAGGTGTGGGAAGAAGGAGAATATGAGGGAAGTGGCTGAAGTTGAGGAGAAAGTTAGATGAAAAATGAAAGGATGAAGGACAGAAGAGAAAGTGGGAGATAGGGTAAAGAAGAAAAAGAAGAGCTAAAGAAAGTCAAAAACAATTGGAAGGAGCAGGTGAGGGAATGGGAAAGGTTAAGAGAATTTGGTGGAGGGAAAGGTAATGAATAAATAAAAATGTACAAAAAACTATTTTCCATCTCGTTTATATTTATTTGAATGTATATTGCTTTATGTAACATCTCTTCGATTTATCTATCCTAATTTTTCCTCTTTGGGTTTAGGCAAAAGCGTTTAATGGATTCTGAAGAAATTGATATAACTTCAAAAAAACTTAAAGCTATGTATGATGTATATACCTTCAAATAGAATTTAATGTTAACATAACTTTATTATAATAGTACAAGAAAAAATATACAGTCGAACCTTCATTTTAACGGATTTTTGTTTCCACGGATTTTATATTTAAATCATGTTTCAATGGACAATGGATTTTTTGGTAGGATTTTAGTAATAGTAATAGTAATAAGTACAACGGATTCACATGATATAGATTTTATAAAAAAAAAACAATTACTATGTTAAGATTAATTCATTGCTAAATAATAATATAAACAAATTGAATAATTCTCAAAAATATCAATATGATTTTACAAGAATAATTCTTGCATTACTATTATTACTAAATAATAATATTAATCAAAATTTTCCATATTTCTAAATAATGATTTTACACGAATAATTAAACACACATCACTAAATAATAATATTAATCAAATTTTCCATATTTCTAAATTGATAATAAATAAATATCTTCTAATAATTTACATAATCAACATTTTTTTTGATTTCTCTAAATTCTACGAAATTAAAATGTCTCAACAACTATCTTCTTCTTCCAAAAAACGTGAAAAAGCCTTTGAAACTGCTTTTAATTTTCTTGAACAAAATAATACACAAGGATATTATAATGAGTTAAAAGCTTTAAAATCATTGAAAAAAAAAATAAAATCATAGTATTCAAAATTCAATACAAACAAACATTACTAGTTTTTTCAGTAAATAATTGACTATTAATTAGCATTTTAATTCTTTGTAAATTTTACTGTATTATGTCAAGTATTGTTATATTTTAAATCATTAAACAAAATTAAAATTTTCCTGTTGGTCCTGTAGATCATTATCTCGTTTCAACGGATTTAGGTGGTCAGTCCCACAGATCCGTTGAAACGTGGTTTGACTGTATATATATGTGGTTATAGGTATATGGAGAAGAATAAAAAGTAATAAAAGGGCAATTAATTTTTTGGAAAATGGTCGTGTTTGTGGTTTCTCTTCAAGAATTCCCAAGGAAGAATTTGCATAATTACGCGAATCCCCCAAGCTCTTTCCAAATCAGAAAAGACATATTTTTGATGGCACAAATCAAAGCAATGGATGGTGGGTCAATAAGCGCCAGCAGATGCCTTAAAAAGAAAGCCAGGTCTAACAAAAGAATATTCTATCACTGAGATCATAATACATTACTTTGCCAAAAAACATGCAGAGAATTGGTAGAACTTTGAAAATATCAGAAACCATCTGATAGACAATGGTCTTCTAGCAATAGTTGATGGTGATGTAAAGAAAATGCCCCAATGAAAACAAATTAACAAAAGTGTTGCTGATATTATAAAGAATTTTCTGGAAGATTATGTTGAAGTCCGTGGATTACCAAATCCAGGAACAAATGTCAATAGAATGACCCAATTAATTAATATTCTTACCAGCAGAAACAAGTTATAAACCATTGCACAGAGATTTTCTTGCTGGCTTGGAGGGAGATACAGTCAAACCTTGTCACAGCGAACTATAATTAAATCCTTGTCATAACGGGATTTTAAATTTTTTGCTTCACATATTAATATTAATATAAAAATACATAAAAATCCGTTGCAATATTACTAATCTTTCCACAACAGATTTTAAATAAAATTTTTATGTGCCCCGGTTCATAGGTTTGACTGTACGTATAAAAACACATGACTTTTAAAAGCTAATTTTTCCAGATAAGCACTCAATATTACCTTATTAAGCTACAAAGTAAATTCCAAAAACTTTGTGTTAAATTTGCACGCTTTATTCCCAACATTTCATACACACACCTTTATATCCCAGTCTACAAATTCAATAAATATTTTCATCAAGAACTATATAGGTAAATCTTTCTATTATCGTCATCAACATTCCCGTTGTATCTACACAATTAATAAAGCGCCAAAATTGTATGAATAATAAAAATCTCCAATTAATTTAATTGGTTGGTACTAGTCATATATTATTACTGTGATAAAAAAGAAAAAAAGGGTATTATTGCTGCGTGCGTAGTTTATTTTTAGTAATAATAGGAGGAATTTAGGAATTCTTTATTATCATCTTTGATTCCAATTATAAAAATTCATCATATTACAATTTTCAACGTCAATGTCAACTTTTACAAAAGTTTTAATAGATTCTGATAAAGCAAACATCAAACAATATGATTTTGCAATTAATATTTTTGTGTCTTTCTGCAAATATCTAGATCCTTATGAGCTGCTAAAATTGGAATGTGTTTGCAAGAAATTTTGTAATTATTTACGCTCGGAACATTCAGCTATTGCATCATTATGGAAGCATTCAAGAAATACTTATACACCTTTCAATGAATATGAAGTTTTGAGCGGGATGTCAGAAAGAGATTATACTAAATTATTGTGTCTTAAAAATGGATGTCAACAATGTGGGGATGGTCGCTTTAATTATCATCATCAAGAACAACTACGACAACAGCAGCATCATCATAATGTTTCTGTTTATTTTATACCAAGGGTACGTCTTTGTAAACCTTGTTTAGCTCAAAATGTACTCAGGTAAATTTATTAATTTATTAATTCCATAATCATACATTACAACTATAATAATCCTTACTATTATTATTACCAATTTACTATTTTATTTTTTATATAGTGAAAAGAATTTCATTGAAAATTTAAATGCTTGTAAAGATGTTTTAAATGCAATTCCTACAGTATCTCATAAAGATCCTTGGGGAAAAGGTGAAAATCACTATTGGATAATTGATTATTATAGAATGGAAGAGAAACTCGTTGGATTATCAGATGAAGAAAAATCTCAATTACTTGAGGAAAAAGAAGAAGAATCTAGATTGTTGATTAAAGATGACGAGAAAAGACATAAAATGATGATGGCGAACAGCAATGAAATTTTAAATTCGGTTGATGAAATAGAAGAAACCGAACAACTAATGTTAGAATTGGCCACCAGGTTTTCATTAGGTGAAACTGTGAATCATTATTTGTTCAGTGATATTGCATCGTTATCAAACAGAGATGACAATAATTTTTTTCTAAACAACAATAACAGCAACTACAACGACAGTGGTGATTCTTCTTATTCAGAATTTGAATTTGTGTCTGGATCCGGAAATTCAAACCAAAATGGCGATAATGAAAATATATCTGAAAGTGACGATGAAAGTGACAATCTTGACTCTGATGATTCAGATTTTGATTCAGATTTAGAGTATGGATTTGAATTGGGTGTAGGTTTAAGAACAAGATGGGATATTATTAGAGAAGTTCGCGCACTCCAACTTTTTGATCAAGAGTCTGATTATGATGACGATGATGACGATGATTATTATGGTGATTATGATGATTATGGTGATTATGAGTCAGAAAGCGATGATGATTTTAGAGCCGCGTCGTCGTTAAGATTCCTAAATACACATTTTCTTTCAAATCCATTTTGCAATTATTCAAATCTCGATTCTGATCTAACATCTGGATCATTTATTCCTGCATCACCATCACTGCCATTGCCATCATTAGATGATAATATCGATCTGATAGATCCATTATTACCAATGCCGCCTTCGTTTTTTGGTGGATCAAGAGCACCATTGATTACACTTGATCTATTGTATAGAGAATTATCGCCTAGAAAACGTCGACAAAAGTTTATTTTGGTTTGTCTAAAAGATAGAACAAAAACGTATCAGCGATCACCACCAAATCCGATTGAGATATGGAATCCTATTTATGAATTTCTCGATTTGCTTCCTACATTTACGAATCCACCATTTTTCATAACCAATGACAAAGATTGGGTTAATAAACACGTTATACCTAAACTTTTACAAGAAACAACGAATGTACGACGAAAAGCCAAATTGGTTGGTGGCCCGGGTCATATTACAACCCTTAGAGGTGCTTTGAATCATGGATTAAAGGATTCTCCTGTATTCTTTTGTGTTTTGTGTAGATTACATCATCTGAATAATTATGAAGCTATACAAAACCATTTAGCTGACAAGCACAATATCATTCACAATATTAATAATGAACATGATTATAATCTTGATGATAATATACCATATAATGTAGGAGTAGATAGTGACGTTGTAGTTGATTATTTTGATGAGGCTTTCCTATAGCATATTATTATTGTTGTTATTTTTATTAATATTAAAAAAAAAAATTAATTTTTTTTCTTCCAAATTTTTTTTATATGTATCATAGTAAATATTAATTGTCATATTTGATATTATATTAATATAATTTTCTTTTTTGTTCTCTTGCTTTTTTTTTGTTATTTATATTTTTTTCATATTATTATGTTTGGCAATAAAAAACATTTCTTTACAAAAAAATATTTATTGATTTTTTTTTTTAAAGTTGCCCACATTTCTACTGCTCTAATTAAATTATGACAAAGTTCAAGCAAGAACCAAAATTTAATAATACGAATTTGAATAATCTATTTACAAAAAAAAATATATAAAATATAAATATAAAGATATAAATAAAAATATAAAATATAAAAATATATAAAAATTTTTTTAAAATATAAATAATCTCTATTTACGCATCTTAATCTTATCTAATCGTTTTATTTTTAATCCCTATTATGATTATATAATTTTATCAAAAATGTCCACAAGTCAATAGATTTATCATATTTAGCAGTACAACCATACATAGCAGTATCATAACTTGTTGTCACCATAAGTTTACCCTAATAATGAATAAATGAGTGTGAATATATATAAAAATAACAGGGAACAGAATGTTTTTTGTATGTAATGATGCTTTGAAATCTTGATGATGATAATAAATAAATGATGATAATGATGATGATAAGAATGCCTGTAATAATATAATAATATAATATGATAATGTGATAGAGTATATAATATAGTATAACAATTAAGTGGGGAGCTAATATAAATAAGAAGTTGTTCAATATCGTGGCTTTTCTCCTTATATTTTTAAAGCCTGTATGGTTTTTCCAAAAATTATAGATACCCATTCAGGATATTTTGTATTCCAGCTCAATTGGTTGACTTCGCTTGTTGCTCTATAGGCCAATAATGGATCCTGGTTGTATTTGGATATGGTAGAATTAGGTGTTGACAAGTCGCCAAGATCCCATACAATGGCATTACAATCATCGCCACCACTACACAAAATATTTGATGAATTTGGTGACCAGTTAACACAATTCACAGGTGCATTATGTCCATTTAGTTCAGCCACCGGTAGCCCAGGAGCTCTAATATCCAATATTATAACCTCGGTAGAATTCATGTGAAAAGTGGCTATATAATATGGTGATATTTTATTAAAAGATAAACGAAGTAGTGGAGATTGTTGGTTTGAGGAGTTTGAGGAAGATCCAGTTTTTGAGGGTTGGGGCGGTGGTGTTTCATAAAGAATTGTAGAATGTTCCAATGATCTAAAATAATATGATTTAAAAATAATATGTATATAATATTATTATATTTTATAATTAAATTATTTTTCTTTTTGACTAAAAATCTCACCTACCTTAGATCAAATAACCTTACACTTCCATCGGCACCAACGCTAGCAAAAGTGTCAACTTCGTTTGTAAAGAAAGCAACGTCGTAAACTTCTTTATCATGAGCTATCAATTGTGTTTTTGCTTGACCTGTTTCAACATTCCATACAGTACATGTTGTATCTATACTAGACGTAACTGCTAAACTGGAGTCCAATTGATTCCAATCAAAAGATGTTAGTGGCGCTTTGAAGTCTACCTTTTTGTTCTTTAATGTTTGTTTAGTAATAAGTTGTTGTCTCCTATTAAATACTGTTTTATTATTATTATGATTATTATTATTGTTATTATTATTATATCCAATAGTATTACTTCCATTATTTGCTTCATCACTAACGATTTCCCACAATTTTAAATAATCACCAGTAGTTGCTAACAAATCTGACGTCTTTGATCCACCCTATAAGACCATACAATTAATTAATTTCAATTATTAAATTAAAATAAATTGATTGATTTATAATCAAAAAGATACAAACTTTATATGGTTCCCATAATACTTTTGTTATGGGATAATGATGATCTGCTTCTGCTATTTTAACAAAATCTATATTCGAACGATGATAATAACTATCATCATCGTAAGTACTAGGCTCAGCCAGTGAAATTATTTCAAGCTTATTTATAAACAAGTTTTAAAAAAGTTATTTTTAATGTTGGTCTAAATCATATATAAAAAAAAGAAATCGGCATTGATATTTTAATCATTAAAAACTAACCTTATTAGAATATTCTTCGATAAAACTTCCTACTGCTAATCGGAACGCCTTTTCGCCTGGTAGTTTTGACCAGTCCAATCCATAAACTGGCCATGGAGCCTTATATTCATAAACTTCTTTTTTTAATAGCCCTTTTGGCTCTTGACGTAAGCTTGAAACTTTAACACCACCACCACCGCCACCAATATCATATGCATAAGGAGTTAAAGGGGGCGTAGTTTGTTGTTTTATAGTAATTGGTGGTGGAGGTGGAGGTGCCAGTGAAAGCGTTGGCTGTGGCGATGCATGTGAATGCGTTGGGTTTAATGATGCGTGTGAATGTGAATTAGGTGTGTATTGTGGTAAGCCTGATTGTTGATCAGATAGTAGTTGTGGTGGTTGATGTAAAGGAGGTGGATGTGGTGAAGAATGTTTTTGTTGATGTTGATTTGGCGATGAATGTTGTTGATGATTTGTTTGAAGAAGTGGTGATGAATGTGATTGATGATGTGAAGTTAGATGTGGTTGATGATGTGAAGATAGATGTATTTGATGATGTGAGGATGGATGTGGCTTTTGCTGTAGCTGTTGCTGATGGTTATTATTTTGTTGTTGCTGTTGATGATGAAGTGGAGAATGTGGAGATGTTTGTTGTTGATGGTGATAAAGTTGTTGGTGTTGCTGCTGTTGTTGTTGATGATGTTGATGTTGATGATGTTGCTGCTGTTGTTGATGATGTTGCTGCTGTTGTTGATGATGGTATGAATTATTAATATTTATTGGAGGTGTTGTAGTTATCGATATGGGAGTAGTAGCAGTAGATGTAGGAAAAGCTCCGGGTAATGTTTGAGACTGTGAAGAAGGAGGTGGATGAATTTGTGGATGGTGGTGGTGAGAGGAAGAAGAGGAGGTGGCCGGTGCTGGCAGTGTCTCAGCGTAAAATGTAGTATTTGGTGGTTGTGGATAAGTGTTCCTCACTATTGAAATGGGGATGAGTTATATTTTTGTCTAAAGTTCAAATCATGAAATTTATATAAAAAAAAATTTTTTAAAATTAAAATCAAGTTACTTTAATTATTATTATGATAGATAATAAGGGTTTTCTTCTTTTTTTTAAAAAAAAGGATTGGTTTTTAACAAAGAAATTGCTAGAAAAAATAAATGTTTATAAATATAAATATATAGATGAAGAATGTTAACTCTAATATTAATAATTAAAACTTACAATTTCTTCTATTAAATCAACTATTCGTTGAATCGTAATCTAAAAATAAATTATTTCTAATTGTTTGTTAATATTATTATTTAGGATTTAATAAATATTTCTCGAGTATTTTATTTAATAAAGAAATGTTTTATTAAAAATAATTGTGAGAAAAATTTTTTTTGGGGAAATGAATTTATTAGTCGGCGGACACAAAGACGACGATCTCCGGTATTAACAGATTGGTATAGCCGCTGGCAGATTTTGAATTGTTTCAGCACCGGAAATCATGCTAACGAGACAAATGTTTTATTGACAGCTTTAAATTATTGGCTTACAAGTTCAAACTATCTACTATCATACTTGAGACGTTTGACTTGCACGTTCGTATCGCTGTAGAATAATTCGAATACCTTCATCAGGTTTTGAATTTGTGTTGGTTTGAATTACCTTGAAAATTCATCCTATTTGCATTGGAACTAGGGTTTCTATCTGTAATAATCCAATTTCTTATCCAATGATTCATAATGGTAATAATAGTAATAGTAGTCAGGGTTGTGGAATTTCGCAGAATCTTCGTATATACGAACAACATACAATTGAGTTCGTACAACTTCGTTGTGGTCGTACACCTGTACGAGGAAATTTAGTACATCGTACATATATATGTACGTACGATGTACAATGGTTTTCTGCGATGATAAAATATTATTTATTATATTAACAATAATATAAACCGTTAACCCTCCTACTACTGTTATTACTATTACTATAATTACCAAATTCATTATCAGAAAAAACCTGATTATCTTATTTAAACCCTTTTTATTATCTTTATTATGTGAGATATTCTGTATAAATACATATTCCGTGATTTCTAAAATTTTTTAATAATGAATTAAAAAATTGCCTCTACATTCTTTTTTAATTATATTTTCAATCCAAAATAATCAATAGTAGTGTTAAAATCATAATCACGATCATATTTTCAAGCATATACAGTAGTTAATTCCACGTCTTTTATTCCGACGGTTAAAGCTTTGAAAGATTACATCATTAAAAATGATGAACTTTATAATTTAGATATCTAAAATATTGATCATCCAGTGATAAGTCCTGATACAAAATGGAAACTAGAGATTATATTAAAAAACGATACTACATTGTCCTTTTTAATTTTCATATTAGTATGATACAGATCATCTAAAGGCAAAAAAATCGTGCAATTCCAAACCACCAAGGTTTTTTTTCTCATTAATAAAATTGAAAAAAACTCTCTATTTCATTGTTACTTAGGTTCTAAATATTGCCAAAATAGAGAGTTTTTTTCAATTTTATTACTAAGAAAAAAGCCTTGGTGGTTTGAAGTTGCACGATTTTACTATATATCAAAAGTGGGATTTGGCATCCAATGATCCTCCTCCTATTTGAGAAAAGATCAACTTGACACGTGACCGAAACAAAAAAATTAGGAAAAAATATTTTTTATTGTTCATGCAACAACTCTTTAATCATTAAAATAAAAAAATTTTTTGTTCAACAAATAAATAATAATAATATGATTGGCTAATTTTGATGCCCGAACGAATATTAGAGTTTCTATTCGTAATACAAATTCTCATTTGAATTGTTCGTCTCTTCGAATTTTTCGTTTAATTTGTTTTATTATTA